GCTGCTGACATGATCAGTGGCTACTCCCACCAGACCACTGAGTAATATACTGCATCCATCACTTTATGGATACAGTAAACCAAGAAAACTCATATATACTCGCCTGCATCATTACTAGAGATGGCACGATACCACTTTTTTATGTCCGATACCGATATCATAAATTTGGATATCTGCCGATACCGATATGAATCCGATATAGTGTGTTTTAATCAACAAAACTGTTTTTTTAAATATCTTGCTGAATTTTGTATAGGTTCTCAAGTTTAAAACAACAACTACACTAAAGCTATTTTGTTATACCTGTATGCAAAAAAAAAAATTTCATAGTTCAGTAATACTGATCAATCTAATAAACTTAAACCTACACCATCCTCCCTATTCTGGTATTTTAAAGAGTACTTAGCGTAAATATTAAGCAACCTAACTAATAGGGTTCCAACTCCCAGCAACAACAAAAATAAATAAAAAATAGGGAACCACCCCTCACGCTCCACCTCATGATGCTTAATCGACGTAATCAACCTTAATTTGATGCAGTGTGAAAAACAAATGCACAGAAATAAATTCTTTTTCAATATATTAAAATATTAAATAGATTCAACATCTTTCTTCAACAAAATTGCAGACTGCACAGATGGTACCTTCCCAAAGGAAAAAGTACTATAGCTTACTAGGGTATATATATATTAGACTTAATAGTCACTATATACAGTAATGGACTTCTATTCATTTTGCATCAAATTAAAACTTTGGGTGTCAGATAATTATTTATTAAAAGCTAGACATTTTAAATGAGAATAAGAAAGAAAAGTATGTCTTTGTGCCCCCTTTTCCCTGTTAATGCCCTATCGGCCCCCCTGGCTAAACTTTGCTAGATCCGCCCCTGCACAGTTACCAGCGTCAGCTACGTAGAAAAAGATCCTGGTGTAGAAAGTAATATTAAATACATTCTAACAACAGCTTATCAAGCTTAAACGTGCTGCTGTTGTTTATCTGCTGGTTTCCTCTTTCTGGTGCAAAGTGGGCCAAAAACAAACAAGAGAGACGGACTCGCGACAGAAAAGCCGATCAGCTGATCATTAAGCAGTTTCATGATTGAAGTAGCAGCAAGAAGAGGCAGTCGCTCCATATATCGTTTGTTAAGCTTAACGCAGGAAAGCTTTACAAACATTCAGAGATGGACTTACACACTTGCTTTACTTCTCTCGGGATAACTTTGTCGGAGATGAAATGCCGGGTTGCTAGCGAAGCTCCAAATGCTATCCAGACCACCGACAGGTCCGGCATGCCACAGCGGCTCTATCACGTGATGCATACTGCTCCAACGTGCTAACGTTCTGAGGTGAGTTACGGTGTGTTGCAAGTTTTGTGAGGTGCTTTCGTGATATTTAATGGATCGGATTACATTTTTTATTTTTCTCTGATATCCGATCCAGTAATTTAGGTCAATATCGGACCGATACCGATACGTAATATCTGATCGGTCCATCTCTAATCATTACTACATTAATAATGGACACGGCTTCATTGGTTAGGCAGAAAAATGCAATTTAATAATCTTACAAATCAAAAAGTTAAACAGAATACAGTGTGTACTTTCTTGGTGGATTGAGGGCACCTTGAAAATGTCACAATAAATCATTGACAGCTCTGTGAATTCTTTATTACAGAAAAACAGTTCATTGCTTCCTGGTTCCAAAAAAACATGGTTCAGGTCAGCTGATTGACTCTTTATGGTTGGGACAGTCGCCATGTGTGGAGTTTTGGAATTCTCCCTTCGGTTTCAATTCGAGCATTTGAATATCTCAGTGATTACCTGGGTGGCAGTAAGCCTGTTGGTTATGCACATAATTCTGAATATCTTCTTGCTTGATTAATTAATACATGATTTGAATTATAAAATGTAAGCGATGCTTGTTTTGGTTATCAACGACTATACTGTATACTGCAACTCGGTGTACTGCGACTCGTTGATTAAAAATATAAGCATTCTATCTTAGCTGTTTAATGCGTAGGTGGCTATAAAAATCGTTTTTGATAAACAAGGCTTCAGTAACACAGGCCTAGAGGCCAGCTGGTGACCCCTGGCAACCTCTAGTTGCTAAGGAAAAATGTGTGTTCTCCAACAGGTTGGAGAGTGGGTGCTCCAAATTCCTGGTTGCAAAGAAAGTGCTCCATCATTAACCTTCTTGTTACTGCTTTGTTTGCTGATGTTGCCTTCAAAGATTCATTAACTAGAAGCTGGGAAGTGGTGACACCTGGAAAAATATGCTTTAGGCAAGCAGGGTAACCTGCTATCAACCAAAGCAATTTGGTGTAGCATGGTACCTTTTTTCAACCAATTATAACTAGCAACTGCCAGAAACTCTCCAACTAGTCATGGAATACACATTTTTGTCCAGCGAGCAATGGTTGCTGGAGATTCACTAAAGAGTCTCCGGAATTCTGTGAGTGGAGCCTAAATTATAATCTTCAAATTGCCAGCTGTAGTATTTTCCCAGCAATGGGTTGTGTGATCTGGAAATACAAAAGCTTATTTTGCTCATACTCAACACTGTCAAACAGGATGGAGGCTGGTGAGGGGAGCAGAGAAAGGGCTCGGTGTATAGGAGAAAATTCAAACCACCAAATAGTTTCTGTTGAAGTATGTATTTGTGGACGTGTTGCACTTTGGATTAAGAGGGTGTGCTGAGGTGATATTATGCATACATTTGTGGTGGTATATTGCCTTAAGAATGATGCATAACAAAGTTTGATTCACATGTTTTTTGCAGATGATTATCTTAATAAATGGAGATATAAAAGACCATAAAAGTCAATCAGTTTCACAGTCAGATGTTAGTTTCCATCCCCTACTGCATGAGTTGGATGAATCAATTTATGAATGACTTTCTGAGTGTGGGTGCTGGAAAAAGCCTCTTCATGTGCAAAGAAGCAATTAGCTCGAGTCGTTTATTTTGTTCATTGCCAGCCTCTATCCTCCTATTTCTCTCTAATTCTCCCGTGCCGTTTTACCACCAAACCTCTTTCAGCCCGCACTTCCTCTCTCTTCATCCTTCTTCATCTCTCTTTCTCTGCTGCTCCCCTTCATCCCTCCTCAGTGCCGCTCTCTTTCATAGCCCCCGTGGTGTTGACCATGTGTGAATGGGACTGAATGATGGGTGGGAAGGAGGCTGCATGCAGTGTAGTTTCACGCGGGCGTGCACGTGCATGCACATAGAAACACGGTCCTACACGAGAGCGCACACACAGAGTTTACTGGTGGGTGTGTTTGTGTGTCTCTGTGAGTCGGTGTGTTGAGGAGGATGAGTCACTCTCTGCATGAAACGCACACACACTCTCAGTCACACATGGACGAACCAGCATGCACTCATATAAGCAATCTAAATACACGGAGCTTTTATTTGCATGCATGATTGATAGTGTTCATGTATCATTTTAATGAGCTCGGTGCGCGTGTGTGTTCATTTGATGTCTTTACTTTAGCCGTTGTGCATTTTTGTCTTTTACATTGAAACGGTGTGCGTTTGTGTGTGCTGGGTGTGATAAGGCTTTTCATTAGTGTTTCCCATACACAGCCTGAAGGCTACAGCTCTGCCCTGCATCATCTATCATCTCTCTCTCTGCCTGTCGATATACTTTCACATCTGCTTACAGGAAGTGCACATGCTCCATCTCCCAAAATTTATATTGGATGTCAAGTCAGTCAAATAATGTGACCATTGGCAATGACATTTACGCTTTCAAGAAGAAGTGGCTAAAAATGATAGAAAGCAATTGTTGAAACCTTGTCCTAACCTTGTTCTGACCCTCACTGTATGCTCCTGCTATGCTGTTGATACCTGGTCAGCACAGGTACACCTGTGACTGATGGGAATGTGCATCAAATAGTGTGTGTGTGGATAGAATAAAGGGTCCTATTAATGTGTGTGAGAATATACAGCAAAAGATGCTTGGGATAATTTAGGTCTGACTCCTTGTAAGCCTGTAAGACTCTCAGTAGTAGGATGTGTATGAGCTGAGCAGATGGTGGTGTAGAGCTAAGCAGCATCTTCAGGGTAAGCTGCTAAGTAGTTTGTGAAATACATTTGCTGGAACACTACTAAACAGTGACATCACTCTTTTCTCTTCTAACTATACCTCTGACAACATGTCAAATAGTCAAGAGGTAACCTGATTTAGATGTAGTTCAAGGAGTTTTTAACATGAGCATCACATTAACTGAGCCATTTTTAAACACAGTCCCACATTTTTAAGAGGCTCAAAAGTAATTGAACAACTGGCTGACTAGAATCGTGTCCAGGTGAGGCCTGTTCTCTCATTATGCCATGACAAATGAGGCTTATAAAAGATCTGATCTTAAAAGAAAAGATCCTACCACCCTTTTTACAGAGAAACGGCAAACATTTAGAAGTGGTCAAATAAACAATCTGGTACATCCTTAAAAAGGAGCACTGAGCAGCTCAGCAACACCAAAAGACTAAAAAAAAATACGACTAAAAACCATGTTGACAGAATTATTTCCATGGTTAAAAAACAACATCTGACCAAGTCAAGAACACTTGAGGAGGTGTGTACAATCAATCAAAACTCTATAATGCCTTAATGAATCAAAAATACAGAGGGTGTACAATAAGGTGCAAGCCACTAGTTACACTTGGACTTTCACAGAAAATGTCTTTAACTTGTACTAGTAAGATTAGAAAAGTGTGGAGAAGAAGAAAAAGGGAGAAACCGCATGATCTGAACAATATCGGGGCATCTGTGGCGAATGATACACGTGGCAGGATGAATTGTATAGTGTGCAGGGCTATACTCTCTGCTTACATTCAGAAAAATGCTGCGGAACTGATCGGACAGTACCACAGAGTTGTCCGTGTATACAATGAGATACATCCGAAAATTAGTATTTATCAAACAAAACAACTTTTCATGTCTGTGTTGTTCAAAATAAACTACTACTATACTATCTAAACTGATGTGTGTTTCTTCTCCAGGAACCTTCAGAGGTGTGTGTAAGAAAATTGATCACTTCCCAGAAGATGCTGACTATGAAGCAGACGCAGCTGAATACCTCCTACGTGAGTCTGATATGAGCACACACTGCACTGTGCATTCACAACTAGGCTTTTACTGGCCAGTGTTACCATATTTAGAGTAGAACTGTCTGACTAATCACTAAACTTGTTTTTTTGTTATCTCAACCCATCGTATGTTCCCAAGCGATGTAAAGCCAATTCCATTGTTAGGTGTGTGACAACAATGTTTCATATCGGCTTGAAAAGAGAATTATTTTGTAAAGTCTGCGTTAGAAACAGCACACAGGCATGATGTGGGTGTGAGGCAATCATGAACATTACTGTGCCCCCTCTCTAGCCCCATCTGCAGGACAAACTACAGGGGTAGTATGGTTAAGGATCACAAAGTTAGTTCCATCCACTATTTTGTAGTAGCGACTTAAGACTAATGTAGAGGAAAGAGTACAGAACAATGGATTTTTTTTTTTTAATTAAATGTAACCAATTGAAAATCACAAAACACTGACAGTTAATCTTTCTTCTAGGAGTGGGATATTCCCACTAACCTTTTTTCTCTGGGGAAGAGAAAGCAGTAGTCAGTAAGCAGCTGAACACTGGAGGTGTTACAAATACAGTTAAAATAACACCAGTTACTTATTTTGTCATTTCTTGTATGGAGCACTGTTTAGGCGTTTAACAGCTCACCTTATGTGCACAGTACTTATGCATACTGTTTTGATTACAGTTAAAAGGCATGTGATTGAACCCCTGAAGTTTTTCCTTTGATGGTGGCCTGCTACTTTGCCTCGCCGCACAAACTTGCACTGAAATATTCCAGCTATCACATTATTGTTAGGCAATAAACCTCTAATCCTGCCTTAACCATTAAATAGGTCTCTTGAGATTACAAATCTGCTTGGCAAGACAAGGCCAAGAGCAGCATTCACCTTGCATGCTTTTTTGACTGCAGGAGAAACCTGAGTGTGAGCATGGAGAAAACAATCAAACTCCATGGAGCATGTCCCTTTACAGGTTTGAAACCAGTGCTCTCTTGCTGTGAGGCAAAAGTTAGCTAACAGCTGAGCCACCATGCTAGCATCAAGGTAATCCCACACTGTTTCAGTATTGTTGAGGCCTGGGCTCTGGGGAGGCCATTCCATGATTGATATGTTTTATTGTGTTTTTATCTATCCTGGTATGCTTGTACTGTCTTGGCACTGTGATTGTGATCGTGCTGGAAATTGAATCTGTTGCCAGTCTAGCAATTTACAGATGGTATTGCATGGTGGTTCAAAAGTTGACAATTCTTTCACTTTGACAAACAATAACAGGACCCACTGAAAGGCCACATCTCTGTCTCAGGTCCTGTGTCAAGTGTGGATATTTTCCATTTCTTAAGAATATGACTTTCAGATACTGTTTATTCAATTCCATTCAATTTTATTTATATAGCGCCAAATCACAACAAAAGTCGCCTCAAGGTGCTTCATAGATACAGAGAAAAACCCAACAATCATATGACCCCCTATGAGCAAGCACTTTGGCAACAGTGGTGTAAGGAAGAGGACTCCCTTACTGCATTTATTTATATTGTATTGTCTGTATAGCACTTTAGAGCACACCTTTCACTTTATTAAAAGCACCTTATCAAGCACTTTATGAGCATTGCACTTTAAGCATGGATTTGCACACAAGAAGTTTAAATATTTATTGACTATTTATTGGGAATTTTAAAATCAGTTGGTGGCCTTGTTTCAGATCCTGCACAGCTGCTCCTCATCAAGGAATGTGGTGGTTGTCTGTCAGGAGAGAAGAATGGTGATTGAGATTGTGATTAAGGTTTACCAATAAGGAAAACTAAGGCAAATGTGTGTGTGAAATCTAGGGATAAAAGTGGTGCAAGTAAGTGTTTGTAAGTTAATGATTACTCACCTTTCTTGCCTGTGTCCTCTTCAAGGTGTTTGGGCAAATCTTTCCCTGGGGGTCCAGACACCATTTAAAGGTTCCGGGAGAGACCATTGGTAAAGAGAGTGTGGTGAATCTTTTTGTGCTTGGGTTTCTGGGTTTTTATAATATTGGGTTTGGTGTAACATTAAAGTGTGAAGTATTTATTAATATGTAAATGTGAAAATGTATTTATGTATTTATTTATTCTTATTGATATATTGTATACTGTGGTGGAAGGTTGGGATTTAAGAATTTACCTGAGAGTGGAATAATGGTTAAGTCTGTGACAGCTGAACATATTTAAGGCTGCCAGTTGTCATTAGAGGATGGATTTTTGTGCTGTGAAGAAGCTCGACAAGTTAATTGTTTTAAGGAGAGCCATATAGCAAATAAATACTTTGTTCCACTACACTTGCCTTGGTCTGTCTCACTGTGTTTCCAGCCGCTAAGGGCTGCCCTGTTACAAGTGGGAAGGAAAAACTCTCTTTTAACAGGAAGAAACCTCCGGCAGAACCAGGCTCAGGGAGGGGCGGGGCCATCTGCTGCGACCGGTTGGGGTGAGAGAAGGAAGACAGAATGAAAGACATGCTGTGGAAGAGAGACAGAGATTAATAACAGATATGATTCAATGCAGAGAGGTCTGTTAACACATAGTGAGTCAGAAAGGTGACTGGAAAGGAAAAACTCAATGCATCATGGGAATCCCCCAGCAGCCTTCGTCTATTGCAGCATAACTAAGGGAGGATTCAGGGTCACCTGGTCCAGCCCTAACTATATGCTTTAGCAAAAAGGAAAGTTTTAAGCCTAATCTTGAAAGTAGAGATAGTTTCTGTCTCCTGAATCCAAACTGGAAGCTGGTTCCACAGAAGAGGGGCCTGAAAACTGAAGGCTCTGCCTCCCATTCTACTTTTAAATACTCTAGGAACAACAAGTAGGCGTGCCGAGCGAGAGCGACGTGCTCTAATAGGGTGATTATATCTGGTGTAGATATTTTTGGGGGGCCTCCCACTTCTTCATTTGTCATCCACTTGTCCATTTACCTCAGATTTCAGGCCGATCTCCACACCATGCTGAAATGTGTCAGCTAATAACACTTTGGGGATCACCTTGTTGGTGCAAAAATAGTATTGTATGCCTATAAAAAAATGTAATTTGGCTTTTTTATGTTTGAATGTTTCATAGGTCACTGTCACAAGTCACAAGCAAAACATAAGGAAATATAAAGAAGAAGACTTTCACTCAGTACTCTTTATCACTCTTCTCATCCAAAGGATAATGGGAAATGGGTAGTTTCTTAAAAATATATATATATATATTATTGTGACTGGCATTTCTATGCCAGCTGGTATAATTATGTACCCAGAACAGTGTTTATAAACAGCAGCTGGCAATATTACAATGTCTAATAGCAGGAACAACAAAACAAATTATGACCTTAATGGCGTTCCATAACACTACATAATGAAGAAACACAAACTAATGGCAAGTAGTTAAGAAACTGAACCTAAAAAAGCCTTCATAAGGTTAAAAAGGATTATAAGAAAAAAAGAGGATAAAAAGATAAAGAGAGAGTATTTAGTAGAAAACACAGAGAAGTGAGCTCTCTGTTTATTGTAGGAGTAAAGGTGGAAAACAACAACAGAAAAGAAGGGGAAGGGATTCAGCCTGTGCCTCTTTTTCATTGCTCCACTGAACACAGAGCAACATCCCCAGAGGGAGCCAATTAGATCACAGTCCTTAGAGCTGATAAGCCAATAAGGAGCAGAGACCTAGTGACCAGCATTTCATGCAGCCCAGGGTTGTGGGCCATAGGGGCGGAGTCTGTACGAGCAATATCTGCAGCTCTCAGTCACGGCGGGAATGTTTTGCCACGCAAGAAACAACAAACATAAAGAAAACAGATGGAGAAAAAAGCGACAATGATCTGCTTCGTTTACTTTTAGTCTTTTTGTGAAGACACAACCGTATATGATAAAACTCTGATGCATGGGCTCTCCTCATATATTCGGTGTCTCAAAATAGCCCGAATCTCAGTTCTGCGCAACAAGCTGTTTGCAAATATTCCTCAATATGTTATCGCATCCTGCACACATATGACAAATATTTCACTCCCACTGAAGCCTCACTTTCACATTCATTATTTTGCCTCGCATATGTCAGCGTGACTCTCCATCTGTCTTGGGTCTTGTCCATTTTTTTCCCCTTCTCCGTCCGTCTCTCGGTCTCTCTCCCTTGCTCTCTCTAGCAAATCCTCTGAATGCTTTAACATGTTCAGAATTCAGGTTCAGTCGAGCATTTAGCAGCCCGCTGCCTCGCGTGTGTAAAGTGGAACCTTTTTTTCTTTCTTTTTTTCTTCCCCTTGCATCTCCATCCTCCATCCAGCACAGAAGTGATGCGCACCAGTGATTTTGATGACGTAATGGTGGAGCTACTGTTCTTCCAGCACAAATGATCCTTCATCAGTTTCTGATGGATCTGAAAGGCGACGTCTTTACACGGCAAAATAAAAAGTTTGCACCTGTTATGAACGCGTTTCCACTCTTTGTGTGTATGTGCAGGTGCTGTGCGTGCCTCCAGTCTTTTCCCCATCATGAGTGTGGGTCTGCTGTTTCTGGGTGGGCTCTGCGTGGCTGCCAGTGAGTTTTACCGAAGCCGACACAACGTCATCCTCAGCGCAGGAATCTTCTTCGTCTCAGCAGGTTAGTCATCACTGCGAGTGTCTCTGCGTGTCCATGTGTGTCCTCTTTCCTCTTAGGAATTTAGCTACAGTGATCGTCAGTCATCAGAACAGTGTACATGAAACCACACTTACTAATTCACAAATTCAGCACCTCATACCACATTTTTTTTCATTTAAATACAGTACCAGCCAAATGCCTTACATTCTCTGACCTGGTGAAAGGAGCTTGAGATAACAACAAGGCGGCTGTCTGTGTGAGCCACATGTGTCTGAGTGTGTGCAGCTGTGTCACTGTGGGCCGACTCTAAACGGAGGAGGCACAGCATTCAGATATTTGTTGAGGAGCCCATTGAGCATCTAAAGCACACAGAAGAGCCCATGAGAGGCACCAAAGTGTGGATATGGGACACAGTAGCTGATTAATCAATCAACAAGAATGCCATGATGCCACTGTGATGCACTGTGAGGGTGTGAGAGTGCAAACACACACACCTATAGAGTCTTTCATTGGGACGCAGCAAAGCATCTTTGCACACACCCTTGTACTTACGTATCCGTACTGTAATGATCCTGGTGATGTTCCCGGGGTCTCGCAAGGTGATTATTATTGGTCGGTTTTGTAATCGGAATTATTAAAAACACTCATTAACCTTTACTGATGCATTTATTGAACCCTTGTCTTTTTTAACAATGGATTTCCTTAAACGTTGAATAGGAGTTTAAAAAAATCAATTTAAAGCAAATTAAAGTAAAGGCACTGCTGTAAACAACATTGGTTGAATTTATTATGTAGCGCAATATAAAACGGGGGCATTGTTGCAAAACAGAACGCAGATAATCGTCTTATCTCGATTGTCTCGCCGGTAGTCAGAATTGTAATTAAAGACCTGAGATGCGCGGAAAAAAACAAAACCGCTAAATCTTTACAACATTATTAGTTTTAACTAAGCATTTTTTTATCTGACTCACATGTTAAGGTTTAGTAAGTTCACTTTAATTGCACTGAAAAGGTTATTAGTCACAGAAAAATTGTATTTTCATTAGTTTTTAACAAATGCGACTGTCTTTTGCAGAAAAATGCACCATGTCCACCAGACAGGACTAAAGATGCAGCTGGAAACATTACAAATGAAATCGCTGAACAAACTGGTCAGCAATAACACAGTACAGGCTCATGCAGTGGCACAAAATGACAACACAATAGCCAACAAAAACATTACAAATAAGAGATATCCCACAGTAGCTTCACCACACACCTTGCTTTAATAAATGAAGGTTAACAGACAAAAATCACTATTAAAAAAAAGGGTGTGGTGTTGTAAGTTAGGATACTAAATTGCTCATGTTGTTTACAACGTTCATGCACTAACAGATAAATGGAACTGGACCTGTTTGAGTGTCTACATGATCTGATTCGTTTCCTCTGATTGGCGGTGCTGTAAAGGATAAAGGGAAGGGACATTTTAGAGTTGGGGTTTTTTAAGCCAACAAACAGTGTTTTAGAAGAGCCTCAGTTACTGAGGTTTTGAAATTAAAGTATTCAATTACTGCACACTGCTCACTAGAGCCTGACCAATCGATGGGCTGAAACTATCGGCCGATCAGCTATTTGTTATTCTAGCGGTATCGGTTATTTACACTGGCTGATGTGGCACAGTTTGTCCACCCGAGGGCAACTTCCCTTTTGACCACATGTGTTGGAACGCCACCAACACAAAAAAGCTTATCTGAGCAGAGGGTAAACAAGTAAATAAATAACTATACATATCAAAATAGTGAAATCTGATTATGTTGTGTGCCTGAAAGAAAAAAAATACATTAGATGATATATCAGGCGGCAGGTAGGTTTTGAACCCAATATTTCTAGAACTCATAGGATCAAAATACCAAAACACAAAACTCAGGAAAGGCAAAAGCCAGGGACTTACAAACTAGGAACTATAGAAGAAACACAGGACACACAACACAAGGGAGGACACAATAAAGAAGCAAGCAAACTGAGGGTTTAAGAGGAGACGAGGGCAGATTGGGGAAAAACACACAGCTGAACTGAATCTAACCAATTAGACAAGTGGAAGGAAAACTGAATTTAACACACACAGGACAAGAGTCTGTCAAAATAAAACGAATAGGAACAGAAATGCAGAGTTTACACAACGAGAGAAAAGTGAACAAACACGGAGAAAGGACAGACTTCACAAAGGAAACGCTGAGACGAGGACAGGCTGGACAGGAAAGGGAACCAACCTCATCAACCAAGAAAGCAAGAACTAGAAACAAAGACAAAATCTAATAATATATTCAAATGACTAAATAAGTTAACATAAATCAGGTCACAAACCCAGAAATAATCATGAATGCTCTAAACCTTGGGTCCAATACACAGGTACCATGACCGTCTCTTAGTATACTGTAGTTGTGTTATTTTTGTTAGTTTGTGGCTCTCACAGTTTCTCTTTCTTTATGTCTGTCCAGGCCTCAGTAACATCATTGGAATTATTGTCTATATCTCAGCCAACTCTGGCGACCCAGGCCAGAGTGACAGCAAGAAGTCCTACTCCTATGGCTGGTCTTTTTACTTCGGGGCCCTCTCCTTCATTATGGCGGAAATGGTGGGTGTGCTGGCTGTGCACATGTTCATTGAGAAGCACCGCAAGCTCCGGGCCAAGTCCCGCACTGAGCTCATCAAGAAGTCCGCCTTTAGCCGCATCCCCTCCTATCGCTACCGTTTCCGGCGCCGCTCCAGCGTTCGCTCTTCAGAGGCTCCCAGCCGCGATGCCTCGCCACTGGGGAAAGGTGGCTACACAGGGCCCGCCGCCTCCGAGATGCCCATGTACACGCTGAACCCACGAGAGGCCGGCAATGCCGGCAGCAAACCTGTTGGCGGCTTAGGCGGGCTGCTTAACTCGGAGAGGGATTTCCTCCAGAGCAGCACGCTCACTAAAGACTACAGCAAGGACCCCAACCGCAGAACCACACCTGTCTGAGAGGTGCTGGCTACAGATATCGCCCCAATCAGAGTATCAAAGAGGAGGAGGATGAGAAATGTGGGGGGGGGAGTGCAAGCAAAAGCAGGGGACACACAGGGTTATGGGGTGGGAAGGGGGGGGGTTGCTAAACTTTGACTGTGAACTGTGAACTTTTAGCCTTCGAACTGTGAATCCTGAGCCCTGTGAGAGTGTGTGCAGCAGGGTTGGTTTTAATAGAGAAGTTGTTCCCAGCCCCAGCACATATCACTGTAGTAATACTTGTAACTCCTTATATATCAAGGCACATTCGGTTTATGTTCATGAGTTTTATGTTCATAAATTGATTTTCAGGCTTTTTCCTCACAGGAGAAATGGGAATTAGTGGAAATGTAAAATATATTAAGTGTTTTTTCTGTTTGGGGCAACTTCTCTTTAAAAAAAACAACAAAAAAAAAACAAAAGCGCCACAAAAAAAACTACAATGTGAATTTGAGGAGAAGGGGTGACAGACTTTGTGTGAACCTCTGTCCTCCTGACCTTTTGGATAGCAGCAGAGTCGGGTCAGGGAAGGGGACCGGCCTTAGAGCTCCCAGCTGACCCTCTGATTACAGTAAACGTGAAGACGTCAGCACCTTGTCGTGGGCTCTGATTCCTTTTCAGTTCAGCTAGATTCAAATTATAAACTGAAGATCGGTTTGCCCATTTAAACCAGTGCATTTGTGGAAGCAGTTATCATTTTCTATACATTTTGTATATAAACTTTCATACTGATCGATCGGAAAGCTCGCTTCACGACTGAACTGAAAATGAATTGAGCTCTTCCCTGGTCACATTTTCCCCTCATCGCTCTGATTCCAGGTCAGTGGTTAAACCTACCTGGCGGTTTCAATGAGTAAAGAAGAAACCGTGGATTAGCTGTTGCAGGCTGGGTAGAAAAGGTCTGACTCAACAACCTAAAGAATCTCTTATAGATGGTAACGTAAGATCCATTGGTGCTTCCTTCTGTTTTTTCTGCCACCTCTTGATTTATTTATTTTTTCACCTAAAACCTAAAAAGAGGTGGTCTGTCTGCCAAGCTGTCTGTCTGCGTCCATGTGTCACCTCTCACCTTTTTCTGTGTAGCCACACCTCCACACCTCCTCTCATCCTTCCCATCCTCTCCATTAGATTTAGCTCCTGTCTTCCATTGGTGGCGTTTTTGGAGACTAGTTAGGTTTTCTGGAGGTTGTTGGTTCAGGGTACTGTGGAGGGGAGACCACTGAGCTGTGAATAGGCTTTAAAGCAGCACCGTTTGTTTGCCCACTACCTCTTGGTGAACACATTTCTGATTTAATATTAAAACCTGTCAGATTTACAGTCGCAGGAGTAAACACAAGATAAAGTAGACGTCTCCAATAGGAGGAAACTGTTCGTATGTAGCACACAAATTAAGCAGCGGGAGATGGAATTGGAGGATAGTCCAATTGTATTATTTATTTAAGTCACTCACAGCCTCCTCATTGCTCTTCATCTCCACTGCTCACACACTGGCTGACAAACTAGTTACTTACTCCACTGCCACCTCTCCAGCCTTAAGAGGACCAGTGTCAAATACTGCTGCGATCCACGCATCGAGGCACCGGAGAACACTGTGTGCATCTGACTGAGCAGCAGTGTTTGGACGCCTTTCAGACTAATGGCCTTTACACACCGGACATGTAAAATTTGCACCAATATTTTGTTTGTTAAAAATACTCGCCTATTCTCAATGCAGGCGTTCACAGCTACCGCATAATTTTGCAAGACGAATTTGGATTTCATTTATGGAATCAAGCACAGTTTTTTCAGATTTTTTTGCATTCAAATTAACAGATCTGACCAATCAGACCACTGCGTGTGGCTACAAGTGCGCTTGTAGCTCAAAACGCACTTACTGAACATACTGAAACGCAACAGTACTGTTTCTTTTCAGACATACAGCTAGATGGTGCTCCAGGTCAGTCAACTCTGAAATAATTTCCCTGCCTCCTCAGATGTGGGAAGAGCTCAGACTGCCCTGCTGACATCCTGAAATATGTACGACAGCAGTCGTGATAAAGATTCAACTCCTGGATCAAACCATGAAATTCTCCATGCTGCTGCCTTCTCGTGAGAATTGAATGAACCCAGAATCTCTGCTTCTTTCCTTTTGTTGTTTAGAAACATCAGGACCAGTTCATTGTGGCTTGATGCGTCTTTTTTGAGGACGTTTTTTGCAAAAATGCGGCTTTTGCAAAAATGCGGAATATACCTAACACGACAAATTCGCATCTGAAAGATCTAGAATTTCATTTTGGGTTTTTTGCCACATGCTCGGTGTGTAATGGCCTTACTTTTCTGCAGGAAGAGCAGCACAAAAAACTACTGTGATAAAGCCCCTGATCTACTACTATATGCCTAATATTTACACAGTCAGTCCACTTGGTTTCCCAACAATCTAATGCTGCATCTGTGCATTTGTAAGCAGTGGCAACTACTGTAATTCTGAAGTATTCCAGCCTTTTAGTAAAAGGAGGCATATTCTAAAACATTAAGAAAACAAGCTGAATTATTCACTTTACTCAGTAATCTTCTATCTCACGACACGAGGCGACAGAATTTGACACTGTGAGGAAAAAAGGCAACACAGCCATAAAATCTACAGAGAGGAGACAGGGAGGGTTGTGAAACCTGAGCATGAGTATCTAGTCACACCATTTTTCTCAACCTGTTTCTGGGACTGTGAGTAACAAGTAAGTGTGAAACTCAAAAGAGGAAAAAAAAATGCTTTTTTTATTTTTTCAGTTATTGTTCTTTTACCTTCCCATAAACAGCCATTGCACTGTTTTGTATAAAGTCGACATGAAACAACACCAACCCGACACTGTCAAGCTACTACTCTGACAGTCATTACTCTGATAATAAAATATGTTTTAAACCTCGCACACACTGTTTAATTTATGATGCTGCTGTTTTATCTCCTGTCTCCGACGCCATAAAGGGAGCTTAAAGGGACAAACGTGCATTGCTACTGTCCTCTACATGTAAATATTAATTTTGCAACTGCAACTAGGGGCATCAGCTTTTGTCATGGGCTGTGAAAGGGGAAAAAAAACCCTACTTTTCTCCAAGCAAGGGCTTTTAATTTTTAAAGGACAGGAGCACACAAGGGCTTTTTATGCTCAGCACTGCAGCAATTTCATTTTAAGGGTGTAACGTGGGAGGGAGGGGGAGAAAAAGCAAAGTACATTTGCACAGAAACAATCGTTGTTGAACAAGCTAACCGCTAATACAGCACGCTTTGTGTAAAAGAGTAGCTGAAGTAGAGGAAAATCAGACTACGCTTTTCTACTCTGCTACTTTTTTTTGACTTAACTTTAGGTTAGATGAGTAATTTTGTGACGTAATTAGAGATGAAGACTATTGCCTTAAGCAAAGGTAGCATATTTAAGAGTTATTTCAGTTGCTTAAGATTCAAACATAAATTAGCAAAATATGCCTGGTGCCAAATATTACTCCAGATGTTTTCTATGTATCACGACCTCCAGGTTAGCTTTAGGTTTGCAGTTGTAAGTACTCTAATCCGCGTAGGATTTACTGACTCAACAGTAGCGGTAGCTTCGTAGCTCTCATCGGCTCAGACCTCGAGGGGTCTGCTTAGGGTCGAAGTTCAGAACTGCCATCCATGAGCCATGTCAGCGTTGACCATTCAAACCATGCATGCCATATCCATTTGCTTCCAGTGCTTACATTTGCTTTAGTCTCAAATGGCACCCTAATCTCTATACTCTGTAGGGATACTCGACTGCTACACAAAAGACGCCTTACAAGGGCACGCGGGCCCATTAGCCCGCGCTGTAATGATGTTTACTTCAGTAGAGCACAGGGTGCTTTTTGAGACTAGGCCACTGTCTATCTCTTCTTCATAAAGCTTTGATACTCTGATATATTATTAGTAAAAAAAAATTATTCTATTCTATTCTAAAGGTGCCACTGTGCAGAGGATGATAAACTCTGTCACATATTATAGTAATCTATTCATTGGGGCGGGGGCTGGGGAGGGTTGATCGCAGGGGGGCGGAGTTGGGAAGCAGGGGTTGTAGTCTTTCTAATATTCTATTATTCTAGTTTCATTTTCTACTTTGATGTGATTGTGAGGTTGTGTTGTTTTAATCACATCTGAAGTTTCTGACAGGAGGGACATTAGGAGTGGAGCACTCGGACGATCGCTCATGGACATAAACCTCACCTCACCGGTGCCAGAGGTCACTTTACAATTTGCCAGCAGGACACTCAGCACTGCAGCGCACACACACGCACACACACCACACGGACACATGCATTCCAAGTAGCTATACATACAAATTCCTCTACTTTTGAGGACTTTTACCCAAAGCTTCAATGCTAGTTTTTGTTGTTTGCACTTGCACAGGAGAAGACTGCCTCAGATAGCAGGCTACAAGCATCAGTAAACCCTCCAGTTTCACGAGTTTGGAAGACGTAATGACTGTTAATTAAAGAATAAAAACAGGGTTAAGAACTGTCCGATGCATTATTTAAAACCTGAAACAATGATGCATCGACTTCCAGGAAAAATATGGTCGGAAAACCCCCCAGAATGATTGTTATCCAATCGTAGAACTCACGGCTATGTTAATAGCAAAAGTAAGGGTATTTAAACACGCACAAGAGAACTAAACAGCTGTGAAAAGCATGTATTAGTGAGGCTAGTTAGTGAATAAAAGGTTTCAGTTTGCTCAGAAGCATATAGATCAGACTCTGGAGGAATGGAAAAAGGTCATGTGGTCTGATGAGTCCAGATTTACCGTGTTACAGAGTGATTTATGCATCAGGGTAAGATAGATCCAGCCTTTACTTTACATCTGGGGTTTCTTCAGTTGGTCTGATCTAGGTTCAGCAACCTTATGTGCCCCTCCAAGAAATGGGGGTCAGTTGATGACGTGATTAAAATGAATGACCAACAATGATTCCTTTCTTTTCTCACAGCACAAGCATGATGATCCAAGATAATTGACAATCTTTAGGATGTGCTGCAGAATCAAAAACAAAACTGGACAGAAATAAACATCCGCATCATGTAAGCTCATCAAAATAATGCCATCATCATCAAAGGTAATCAGCTGATATCAGTTGTGACCGAACAGCGTAATCAAACTTTTGCACACTTAAACTTTAACTTGAAATAGAATTCGAAGCTTTGGGATTATTGGTCCTCATGAGTATAGGAGCACAAGAACACAGCACACAACGATGTAGTCTCGTTAATGATCACACACACACACACATACATGCTCACAGCTTCAGCTTTGCCCGATGTGGCGCAGAGAGAAATGTTCTGTTCTGGGTTAAAAAAAACAAAAACAACTATCACTGTGTCATGTTTGGTGTTTCTTTGGAAGAAAATGACAAACTGTTACCACTGCGTCGCTGTTGTGTCGCTCCTTGATGGGACTTCAGTACACTGAGCCAGCTAATCAACCACGGAGGACCAGAAAAAAACTGTTTTGAAGGAATAGTTCAGAGACAAACACTTGCTATAAGCACTCTACACTTTGCACTCGCAACACACACACCAAGACACACTAACGCATTTAAGGTCACTGTGTGAGGAGGGCTTACAGGTGGAGTTATGTGCCTGCATGTTTGTGTGTGTTAATATTTACATTGTGCGTGTTTGTGTGCGTGTGTGCAGTTAGCCTCTCCTCACCCATGCACCCAGTGCCTGCCTGTCCTGCCTTCAGACAGCTCCAAGATCAGCCATGGGGCGTCCAGTATAACCTCCTCTGCATCCTCGCGACCTTTAATGGTTGGACCGGGATCAGTTTTAGAGCTAACTGCCCCGATCATTCCTCAGCAGACGCAGCCATACAAGCTAATAGGACTGTTCTGGATTCAGTCGGCTCTGGCGGAAACATTTTTTATTATACTTTTTAATTTGGATCTTGTTTTTCTTACATTGCCGTCTCTGTCTGTGCAGCTGGTTTAGGATCAGCAGAGGGGGCTTGGGGATAGACTATGATCTATTGAGTCCCTAGTGACACCTGGTCCTGAATCAGCACAAGCTGATTTTGCCTGCTGTTCCTCGTGTTCCCAAATGTCCCATAAATTTGGGAAAACAAACTGTGCTTGCTCTGAAAGACTTACTTGTAAAATTGTTAGGCTTTTTAAAATGTGTCCTTTAGGAAGTTTCACTCACCAGATTCCCTCCCCCAAATGATTTCACTTTAACTTCAAGCATTGTTGACGGCGGTGGCAGTTTATGGATGGTAGTTGTTGTTTTAAGTTTTCTAAACATAATCTATTGATAGATAAAGAATAGCAACCATTATTACAAGAATTATTCCAGTCTTGGTGGCTATTGGGCCTGTTTCCCTGTTTTATTTTTTTTTTGGGGGGGGGGGTTGTGCCAACCTTTAGCCTTTTAGGAAGAGAGATTTTGTACCTGTCCTATATTTCACATGAATTATTTTGACAGGGAATACAGAGCGATTAAAATGTGCTTTTAACGGTTTTGCCTCAAGCCCTGCATTCAGACAGTGCTGTTTACGTAGTTTACAGAATATATTTGTGGCTGGCACGGTTGACTGACCAAGGATGAAAGGCCCAAAACGGTATCGTGTTTTACCAAGCTTGGAGAGTTTCGCTCTGCATCAGGAATATTCAGGCTCCTTCTTGCTTAAATTTCTTTTGAAAGTAGCAACAAAACATGTTTTTTCTCTTCCTGAACAAGTGAAATCAGACTGTGCCCTTAAACGAAAAGATCGTGACTGTTTTTACTGAGATTTACAGAAGACTCGCAGGGAAATATCTACAACACTTAATGTGACATACTTGTATTGGATTACTACACAGGTTTCTCTATGAGAAAGCCACGCACCATAGAGTCTAAATTGCCCTTGAGTTTTTACTGAGCCATGTTGTAATGGGTAGAGTCAGGCTACTCAGTGTATGAAACCAGTGTGACAGTGCACTGGCTGTGGGCTTTTTGCCACGTTTGCTGCATAACTCTGTGATTGGCAAAGCTAGTTAGCACTACTTTATTTCAGACTGTAAAAAACATTAAATCAACAGTTGCTATGATATTTGCTTCATCTTTCAAGATTAAGTAAGTTATTTGTTACACAAGTAAAATACCCAGCAAACCATATACAGGACGTAAAATAGAGGTGAAGTAAAAATAGTATTTCAATGCACATGTCTTCTCCTTGTCCACAGACTAGTATAACCGTAACCTTTTAAAAAGCCATTTGTACATCTAAAATCTGCCTCCTTTGCTGCACCCTGGACTTAATGCGTCAGGTTGTTACAGCCATCACCTCTCTGTCCCTCTCTGTCCCTGTCATTACCCAGAGATCAGACCACTTCAGTGTCACATGAAAGTCTTACAAGAATGTAAAGAAATACTCAAGCAGACATAGTTAGCATCTCCAAGATGTCAACAAAAACCCCGCAGAAAGTGGCTAGCATAGCTGTAAACTGTTGCGCTGTGCCTCAAATTACATATTTCTGTACACCTACAGTTTAAATTAAGCAAAACATTTTTGTGGAAACGTGTCCAGTAGCGGTCGTGATGCTGGTTAGCCTGCTTCACACAAAGACCCATAATTCTTTTAAGCTAATGTGAGAAAGCTATGTCCTGTGTACTTAGCACACACACCAGTATTAATTAACAGATATTGCACTTGTTGTGGCATGTTTTAGTGTTTTGTTAACTTCTTGAATTCTGTAGAAGAATCTGAAGAATTTATTATTACAGAAAGACAGAGACTAAAAAAGCAGCAGCTAGCGATCCAGTATTTTTGATACAACTCTAAAAAGAAGAAGTTACTTTCAGCTGCTCTTTTATTCACAGGGGTCGCCCACAGTGGGTAGATTTTTATTTTTATGCCAGCTCCCTTTCCTAATCAAACCCCATAAGGGACAT